GGTCTTCATGAATGTGTTATAATGCTGAAATCATGTGAACTACTGTTGATGTAGTTATTGTACATAGACTGAGGCCACTCAACTAATTGTGTTGCTTGTTATTTTAATTAAGATTTTCAATAATAAAGGTTTAGAATACCTATTCAATCATGACTTCTATTTGTCATACATATTATCTATTCACTTTTGTTTTTTATTTGATTTTGTGTAGTAAGTTGTGTATTAAACATTTTAATTGCTTTTTCTATATGTAATGATTGCAAGCTTTAAAACATCAAAATGTGAACACTATGCGAGGGTCTGAACATTTTTTCAAGTAACAGTATCTTATGGTTATATAATAAAAAGGGAAAAATACCAATGTGTTATTCTCGCCTTTTATGATTCTCACATATTATGAATGTGAAATCAAGACCTCTTGCATGACCCTAGCATTTTCACAGCAATCTGAATCTTGAGATGAATCACTGAAGTAGGTTATTATAAGGACTCTAAGACGTCTGCATTTTATTAGACAAAAAGTGGTGCAAACTGAGCACTTGTACAGAGACCTTGATAAATGGAGACCATACTGCCAAGCCATAGAACTGATGACCTACCAGGCGCCAGGCTGCTTGCATAGCGAAGACAGGTGTACAATGCCCTTGCATGTGCTCTGATACACAGTGAGATTTAAACATTATAAAGACTGACAAATGGAAGTAATTATCAAGTGGAGGTTTGAGACCTCTTAGCATTCAATGGAACAAGCAAAGACATGGTGTCCTTTAAATACTTTAATTTTTAGAGGTCTGTGACAAGGTGACTTCATGCCTGCTAACTCATACTTAAAAAAAAAAAACACTGTGGGGGAGAAGAAAATCTGAACTTGTAATTTGAATTTCAGGAGCTGGTTTGACTTGAAGGGAGATGTTTATAAGCCCTGCACTGTCGATCCTTGGCTGAGAAACTATCATGCATTGGTGGGTAAGAGGAAAGAGGTTATTATAATTCTGTAGGAGGAATGGACTTGTATTGTGAGAGCGCCCAGGGGGGAAGTATGGACAGTGGCTTACGTTCATCTCCTTTCAGCAACATAAAGCTTGAAAGGTTTTATATTTCTGTGGGGAAACTGGCAAAGCAAAAGGCAACACTGTGCAGGATTTAAAACTGGGGTGGCTTTCTCCAAAGAGGGCAATTTGCCTGTGTACTCTTCAGAATGGCACTGGGATTTACTAATGCACCTCTTGTGCTCGGATGCTGGTCCACCTGATAGGTAATGGGAGAGAACAAATCACATTTCAAAGCAGTGGAGCCTGTAACACAACTAATGACTGTAAATCCATTTGTCGGGAGAACACCAGCTCGGTGAAATGATCTAGACCAGTGGCTAAGAAAGGGACAGCTTTGTCAAACCCTGTCAGCAGTGCAAAATATTCAACAAGGCTCATGCTGAAGTGCTACAGCTGTGCTCTGTTCATATTGCCTGCCTTATAATACAGCACAAATCCCTATTGTAGAGTTCCACGCTTCGCTAACTAAAACTAATTTCATTCTGGTAATATGACAACACTGAGCACTGCTTGAACAAAGCAGACTTCCTTTAACACTAGAAGCACAATGCGAAGCACAGTGTGTCTGCCCAAGGGCATGAGGATGCAATCATTAAGGTTTTATGGATACTCACTTTATCAAAAAGCTGGTGTAACAGATTCAGGCTTTGCTTTCCAAATTAATCAAAAGAGTGAGTTTAAGGAGTGCTTTACTGTCACCTGAGAGCTGGAGGAAGTTTTACCACTCTGGCTGCCAGGATTGCAGTGTCATTTTATATTAGGACACAGGAAATCAAACACAATGCAATTCATCTGATACAGAATAAAGGAGGAGTCATGCTGATATACTATAAAATGTACACAATGTCACTATTTCATATCTTAAGTACTAAAGTCCTTTCTTTCTAGGCTTCAAAATGAATGTTTTCACGTTTTAAGAAATACAAGCAGAAACAAATACAAATTACAGTCACTCATAACTTAAGCTCTGAGAATTCTGAATGTATTTAATTTTGGCACAGATTACGCAGAAGGGTAATGTAGTCTCCTACTAGTCTCCAGCAGCTCACCAGCTCATGTTTATTCATTACATCGGATGAATCGTGCCGAGGAAAAAGAGGAAATTGCCCAAGAAAGAATTACAGTTCTGCACAAATACACAGATATAGATTATATATGGAAATATAATCAGCAAAATGTTTCTTAAGACTTCAAGTGGGGAAAAAAGACGATGACAAGGAGCAACCGTTTTGACATAAATGTGTTGAACACAGACAATGTGCAGCAGTAAATCGGGTTTAGGGCTGTATTCTGCCCTGAACACCGGTGGTTTGCACCAGGGCTTTCATCTATAAACTCACAACTCCTGGTGCACCTTCACTATTACAGGCAGAAGAGTTCGCAGACGAGGCCTTGCAGGACCACGGGCAGGATGGGGTGATAGAGCGCCACCTTCAGACCGCTGAGATGCAGAGGCCCATCGCCGGAACAGCACAAGCACAGGCAGTCCAGTGCGATCGGCACGAGAGCCATCCTTGGACATTCCCCATCCACCCCTCGCGTTGCAGGCAGATCTGGGGAGCAACACGAAACAGCAGCCCGAAACAACAGTCTGCACAAACCATTCGGCAAATATATTACCTTGCTCTCCAGAACCTCGGCTATAGGCGAGGCCTCATTTAGCAAAGAGATACAGCAGCATTAAAAACAATTAATTAACTAATGCAGCTATACAGTAAACCCTCAATTTCACAGACAAACAAGGGCAATGGGTGTCTGTTATTGCCAGATGTCCATTAAATCATGAATAATGTTTTTTTAGTCTGAAAACACTTATAATTTGAGAAAAATACATTATACAGTATATGCTGAAGTAGTTCGGGTGGGTAGCTGCGTCAGCATGCGTAGGCTGCAAAGGAAAAGGTAAGAGGTTTATTCCCTGCTGAAAAGAGAAGAAAGGAAACAACATTTTGGCTGTGGAGCCTTCTTCACACCTGAAGAAAGCTCCACGGCCAAAATGTTTTCTTTCTTTTCAGCTTGGAATAAACCTATTATTTATTATATGCTTACCTGAAATGCACTCAACAGAAATCATTCCTGTGCCTTTTTTATCATAAATATACAAATGCTTTCTTTCATGTCACGGTGTATAAAATTCGCTAAAGCACATGACACACAAACCTATTGGAAGCAATATAGGAAACCAGTGCTGCTCCTGGATTTCAAACCTGTGTAATATTTGGCTTTGTTTTGTTTTCTGTGCATTTCATCATTATTGTGGGGGAAAATCTGGTATTTCTGATTTCACAGACAAATCCCCTTTAGTAGATTTTGTCTGTTAAAATGAGGGTTTACCATAGAGCATTTCACAGCATATCCGAATGACATACTGTGGTGTGCACAAAACACATTTCTAACATTTGCCAAAATCTGTTATTAATGGTTATTCCTCAATGAAAACGGATGCAAAGATTCATTCATTTGTTCATCCTTCAACAAGGAAAAGAATAGCAGAAGTTCTTGCCATTATTTTAATCTGACTGACACTTTTAGGCAAAGTGACTTGTGTAGTGTGGCATTTTACTTGAGCAGTCTGAGGGATGTACAGTACAGCTTGCACTAGCTGCAGTGTCCTGCCTGAGTGAAACAAATAACTTTTACATTGGTGTAGGTACTGTATTAGTTTCCATATTACCCTCCCAGCTTCAGTTCCCCCTCTGTCTCATACATCATATAACCAATTCAATGATAAATCACAATGAGCGAATTCTTCAATTAAAAATGCATTTCTGAGTATTTAAGAATCCATTTCCCCAAGTTGGTCCTTCTATCATCCATTACAACGTGTCCTGTTGTGTGATCACCCTATTCCCATTTATCTATTTGAAACACCTACTGACCACCCACCTGCCCTCATGGAACATTAATTCTGCTGATAATGTCTTCAGAAGGAGACAGATTTCAGTCTTCACTTGCTGTATGCCCATTCATAAAAAGCTTAGTGACAATGGCCCGTCTTCAGATTCGTATTTGTTCTCTAACAAAATCTGAACTCTAAAAAAAGACTGTAGTGATAAACCCCAAACTGACATTTAATTTAAAAAAGTTTTCAAAACATCAATGTTGCCTATGAAGAACAAAACAGGGGGAAGGAAAACATCCCTTATCACCCTGGTGCACTGCCCAACAAAGCACATGAAGCAGATGCATTTCCAGGAAAGAAAATAATATAAAAGTAGGCTGTTGCACCAAAGCTGAAGAATGGAACAGCATGGTCTCAATTTTACCAGCTGCATTTTGGGAGTTTTCAAATGCAACACAATTTAGCAAAGGAAATGGTGACCACTGGTAGCCGTGTCCCTTGAGAACTAAGAGATGACATTTTCACTGTTCCAATTCAGAAAGTGCCTCGTCACGGCCCAATGAACAGGGTTGAGACTTTAGCGGCCACATGCCACTTAGCTTAGACTTGGATCCACAAGTGCTACTCACATTACATTACACTAAAATAAGTAGCCGGTAATAAAATCATACCAATTTAGCATTCAGGTAAACAGAATAGGGAATATTTACATCTACAATACAATAAAATGCTTCATCCAATTAAGATCCAAAATGCTTTTACCGTATAGCCACTTAACATTTCATTGACCTAATTCACTCATGTCCTGCTTTTTTGTTAGTGGATCATGAAACAGTCCCTCCCTTATAGTGTGTACTATGTGATCAGTGTAATTTTATATTTTAGTATACTTAGATCTTGTATGTGCTATTTTATGGTCTTGCAAATTGTGGTTTTTAAATAACCACAATGGATAAAAATTGTACTTTTATGCACTTCTATATTTATATGCCATAGTTTCAGTCCCTAATGGACTCCATTATGATAACGTTCAGTTACAGAGTGATGATCCAACTTTCCATTAGACCTAAACGCATTTGATTACAACAAATGATATTAGAGAAAACAAAAGTACAAACATTACTTTATTATTCAGAATATGAAAGTTAACACTGAAGCATATTTGCTGACAACACACTTTCCACACAATGAACTCAATGGCATGAGATACAATGAAAAGGCCATGATGTGAAAAATCAAGTTTGCACTTCAGTTAAAAAAATGAAAACCTCAAACCCCACTTTTCTAAAGATACCTTCAATTTAGCAGAAATATTCTGAAAGATGAATTAAATCTATGCTTTGGGAAACAATAGGTTGGTCTACAGCACATTTGAACTACAGTACACATACAAAAGACAAAAAAGCATAAAACGGGGAGGAAGAAGCATTGTCAGTCTCCCTAGGGAATCGCTCATTCTTTGCCGGAGCTCCCAGGATCCTCCACGGCTGAGGCCTCGTCCGTCTGGCTGGAAGCAGTTGAGTCCCGTGGCCCCGCAGCCTTCAGTGCTGGGGTGCTCTGGCCTTTCTGGGGCGCCTCCACCTCCTTCTTCACTTCTCTCCCACTGCCCAGCAGCTTCTGGCTCTCCACAAAGTACTGATTGGGGTGACTGAGTGAAAACCCACAATCGTCAAGCTGCCAAGAGAGAAGTCTAAATGTAACGAATGAAAGACTCAGCTGAAAATGTTACAGGAAAGGACAGTAAGGTTTGAAAGCTTTGGTTGGCTACAGACAGAAACGGCAAGCTTTTCTTTCGTGTGTTTGTACAATCTGAAACATCTGAAGCACACAAATATGTAGTCCCTAACAGATTGTAGAAGACCTTGCTTCATTGAAGAAATAATTGTTTTACTTGATACTCTACCAAGAGCACAACCAACATGTGGAAACTACTAAAACAGAAGCAGTGAGTCAGTTTCAATAAATGCTTCAGCTGACTTTGCCTTTGGAAATGATTTAAAAGATGAGCGGGGAACTTATTTAGCGATTCTGACTGCCGTGCCGAGTATCGGGGATCTGTCATCTTTCTGACCTTGTGGGGACTAGACACCTTTTGAAGTCTTACTGGATGCCAATTCATAAACGCAGAAAAACAATTCACAGAAAAAAATGGCACAGCTTTTTATTGTTTTTGACTCTTCTTGAATGTCCCCCAGCTGTTCATTGTCTTTATCCTTTATTGGTTGGTTGTGCCTTTACTCATCTACAGATCACAGACACTGGCAGCTCTGCTCAGGTGATCCACGCAGAGCCCTCTAGTACAGAGCACCATTTCCGAATGGATGTACTGTCGTTTACCACTCCAACATCGGACATGGAATTTCAGCTTGATGAAAGGCCCCACAAGCTAACTAACATACTTGCTATGCCACCCCAGGTAGCAGTTTCCATCCAAAACATTAATACATGGAATAATACATTAATAACAGGAGCTGAACAGCCTAAATGAGTATAACTATAACTAAAGAAGACAGTTCAATTTAGTACATGTTTCACACAAGCTGTAGATCTGAACTAAGCATAAAGGTTAGGGCATTTACTGCACCCATTGATGCACATGCTATTACACACAAACGCTATTATCCTTCATGCAGGTCAGAAAGAACTAATACACCAAAATATACTAAAAGTAAATGTATTTCAAATCATTTATAGCTCATAAGAATAATTTACTGACAATTAAACATTTCTGAAGTGTGAGTATTGCTAAATGCATTTTAGCCTTGCATAGAAAAAGTCTACAGAAGCTATTTGATCTAAAGCAATTTGCTTCTAAAGATAATTTATTTAAAAATAAACCCAAAGTCAATTAAAAAGGAGTTACATTTCCATTTTAACACTTTCATTTCCCAGAAGCGATACTTCTGTAACAAATCGCTTAAGTGCACAGTTCCTAAAGGTATAGAAATACAAAACACTGACAATGACTTAAATGCCATCTCCTAAGAAAAACATTTCTATTTTACTTCACGGGAAAAAAAGGTCTGTTGATGTAACTATCAGTATGAGCGAAGCATAGAAAAGCTCTTCTTTGTCAAGTTTATGAATAAAATGGATGGCAATAATATTCCAAAACGAAGAGAATGAAGAAAATTCAGTTTTACAAAATGCTCAGTTTGCCCTCCAACCTCTGCACACCCTTTTGCTTTCCAAGTCCAAGCTAGTGCATTTTCAATACTTACGCACTGCTTCATCGCTATTCAGATTGTTTGATTTATTACCCTTGTGTAAATATTTCATCAGTGAAGTATTACATTGTGACCTTTAATAAATGCTGCAGAGGAAGGGGAAACGGTGCCTGTCTGTCTGCTTTAATTCACAGGTCTGGAACCAGGATTCATGAGGCCCAGGAGTGAAGAAGCTTTAAAGTAATGACTGCCAAAAGCCACAATATTCACAAGGGACACTAAACAGATAGGTGTTTTTTTTATTTTTTAATGTGACGTGCTTGACTAAATGCCATAAAAATAACAGATAAATTCATTTAATAAAGTATATCATTGTTAATATGAAAGAGAAAAACCACAGGTAGGAGTGGGTGTGACAGTCATGATGTCTTATTTATTGCATTTAAATCTTCAGACTACATTGTTCTTGGCCATTTTGTCGCCATTCATGACCTCTACAATGTTAATCCCTGCTTCCCTGGTAATGATGTTCATGAAAAGCCTTTCTTTGCAGTCAGGAAACTAGACTGAAAGCTTTTCCTTGAAAGCAGTCATTTGAATTGCAAATGACATTTTGACAGTCCTGGTAACAATAAAAATATTTTCTGAACAAATGTGACAACCACAAAAAGATACTAATAATAAAATAACGAATGCAGAAGTGGCGATCTAGTAACATTTGAGGTCATTTAGCTAATCTTAAGGACATACAAATTGGCAGCACAGCTCTTCTGGAAATAAAAACAAGCTTCAAAAACAACGTCTACTCATGATTTAAGGTGGATAACACAGGACTCTTATCTCATCCAGCAGAGACGGGCACAATTGTCACCACTCATTGGACACTTGCCCACACAATAGATTTCACTTAAGCTGAACACAGCATAAACCCAGATGCTGCTTGAGGACTCTGACATGTTCTGTCTGCCTTTCCCTGCTGATATAGTTTCAGAATTTAGACAAACTGAGGCAACTGCTCGTTCCTAACAGGTGCAGTGTACAGTCTGTTAGCTGCCCTTCCAAAGATGTGAAAACTTCACCACAAAGACTTTCCTTGCTGACCTTCACACAGTCAAACTAGAGTCTCTAATTTCCTTTTCCCAGGACAATTCCACTGCTCCTGCTGAACATCCCCCTCAGCAGCAGGTAGAGCTGATGGTGCAGGCGCTCGGATTACAAACACAAGCCCTGCAGAGTAACAGCAAACAAACAGACCTGACGTGTTCAGGTGCTTTGATTTACATATGATTGGTAAGAAAAAAAAAGGTTCGGACACTCTCTGTAATATTCCAAATTTTTACACATTCCATTAAATCAAAATTAGGTTATTCCTGTAACCACAGTTCCAAGAAATAGACACATTACTACGCACAGAAGAAATATGGTTGCAATGTTTTATTTCTGGGAACCTGGGATATGAGAGCATTTTAGTGTTCCCTTTCAAATAGCATGTATATTGTATGGGTTTGTGTACCAAAGCCATCGAAAACATCCTGAGCAGCACATCTTAAGGTCTGTATTCTGTGATCTGGACAGCTGTGGCTTCATCTCCCAGGGACTCAGACAGGAGAGTAGGTCTCCAAGTTTCAGATGAGCACTGAGGCACCACTCCTGATCCTGGAGCTGAGGCCAGGCCACCGGGGCCACCACACTGAGGTTAATCAATTCTGAAGAGGTCTGAGGGAGCACCCATGCAGCAGGGCCCGTCACTGACCAGCGAGTGAGAGCTGAGGGTCACGCAGCAGCTTAGTAAGAATAGCCCCCATGCTAAAATCGTCCTAGCAGATCGCTGCATCTGAGTACCTTTCAGATACTGAGCTTGGGGATCAACGTACCCCCAAAACCATTCAGAAAACTTTAGCTGCATCACTTGCCTAAGTAGTCTGGAACTGAGAGCAAGAGATGTGATACACTGTAGCCTCATTAGTCCCAAACTCCTACTGCTACAGAAAGAAAACTTTGTGGAAGAACACTCTAAGTGACAGCAATAATATAGATGGACTCACAACCTGGGCCCCAGTGGGGCTACAAGCAGTGGGGAAGGAGATTAAGATACTGCCTTCGGAAGGTCTAAACCTAAAGCGAACACATAACAGCTCAGCCAATGCCACATGATTAATGGCAACAGTAACGGTACTGAGCAACAAAGAAGCAAGAAAGCAAGTGACGTCAACATAAGGTAAACAGAAACTCAGCGTCTTGAGCAGACGTCTTCAGCTTGTGGGTGAAGGGGCTAATGGCAGGGACCCCTGCCTTGCACAGGGAGGTTTCTTCAAGTGCTGTTGATAGGTGTTCAGCATGTGGGTAGAGGAGAGCTACTGTACAAGCAGCAGTGAAGTTCTGCAGATGAAAGAGACACTAACTGGGGGAGGTTTATCTGGGTCATGGCTTAACTATGACAGTTAAGGGAAAAGCAGTGAAGGCTTTGGGACAGTAACATTGCTTAACATGAAACAATAAATACACTGTTGTTTGCATTACTAATATCTTGAATGTATGGTACACTGCATTCATTGATTTCTTCCATATAATTGTTTCACACTGAATATCATCTGTGTGAAAATGTTTTGCTAAAGCACTTGTCAGAGAACAGGCTGGGCTACATTTAGTTTTTCACCTCTTGCCTCATTGTTCTTCGGCCCTGCTCACTGAGTTTCTCCTTGTATGAAAGTATAGTTTCTCCTTGCATAACTCCCTTTACTGATGATCCTTCTTTAAGTTGTGCAGTATATTTGCATTAACTGACATTGAAAGTTTATCTTGTGCAAATTTAAGAGACGTTAAGGTCTTCCGTTTTTGCTCTGTGCAATGACTGAAGAAAAAAGGGATTAGCAATTTGTAAACTTTCAGTTCCTTCATGTTTTTGACGGAGCTGAGCTAGCAGACTGTGATCAGGATTCTGCCAAGACAAACACAACTGTTCAGTGCTGCCAGGTGCCTTTCTTCTCCTCATGTGGGTGGGTACAAGGGTTGTCTCTGAGCCAAGATGTAAAAACCATTGACAATTCCAAATTGCACTGGACTATTAAAAATGGGGTGATGCGGTAAATACAAATTATGACAAAACACAGAGGAATGCAACTGCATGGTCTACAAAAAGACGGAGAAATGCAATACTAACCATCTAAAGAAACATTAACAACCAAATTAACAACATTAGCAACACATTTAACAACCCTTTTTTGTATCAGGCACAATGAACTTTAATGAACAGACGCGACGTAGGTCAATTCAATAAACCTTTAACAATGGGGGAGGGGGGTCTACTTTGACTGGCAAAAGCGAGTTCCATGTGTGAGCACTGTTGGAAGCAATACAATATGGACGTCTCTGACACACGCTTTGCAGCAGGTTGTGTCATATTATGAGATTCTGCCCATTGTACTTGTAGAGCCTGGACACCGATGTGCCTGTTCACTGGTCTCTAAGCCCAAGATTCCACAAGGCACACCCGCCCATCCCACACATTAAATGGGGCTCAATTCTAGCAATCAGGCCATCGACAACATGTTTCCTCCTCATTAAACAAGAAAGCTTTAGAAGAGCAGCTTGAGGACGGGCGTTGTCCTGCTGGAATTCAGGATGTCAGGATGAGTTTGTGGGAAGGGCACCGAGTGAGGTCCCAGCACTTGAGCAAAGTACAGGCAGACATTCCTACAAGGGGAGTTCTACAGCATTTAGATACTGCTTGCCCAGATCAATAGACTCAGACCTCAGCATTGACTGCTCTGTTATACATTACAATTCACATGTTGTTCTGCATGTGCACTCGCTGATCTACACCTTAGCTTCATTAAACACTAGAGAGAACTAGAGTGACCAACATACTGATGGTGGAAATTGGTAGTTTTCTTGATAAGCAGCATTTTCTATTTTTTGTCAAGTTGTCCATTCAACAGTTTAAATCACCTCATTACCTGTGCTTAATCAACTCTCTAATACATTGATTATGAAGCGTTAATTCAAGTGTATAACAGTCACGAATGATTGATTAGTCAACATCATGCCAAAAACATATAATCAATGTCTTTAGAACTTATTTTTCTAAAGAGACACATGCATAGAGCGATAGGTTTCTTTTAATGCTCAAAATAATATAGAGGCCAACCAGATAAACAGTTTTTAGTGTAGCTAACAAAGTGCAGGTTCTGCACTGTGGAGTTATCTAGGCCTGTACTCTCCCAATTACCCTGAATTAATGAGAGATGACAGCATATTTAAGTGTATGTGCTACATTCCAGTAATTAGAATAGGGCTTAAAGGAAGCTGATATCTTGGTAGTGTTCAGATGCCTTTTATCAATATCCAACAGCTCAAAACAGTTGTAATCCTATATCGGTTATACTTTCTCCTTACTGCCATGAGGGTTTCTACATAATTTTAATGAATCTATGACCTTTCACCTGCTTAAACAGTCAGTGCAGACTTGGCTGTGACAAAAACCAGCTTCAGGTTAAAATTGCATATCAATCCATGACACACTGCAATTCCAAATACACACAATTACCCAACAAGATGATAACAATTCAAAATCATTATCTTTTTTTGTGATGGTAGTTCTAATTAAAATGAAATCCTGATTACAATGAAATCCCAATTGTTTTACAATCAGTGTTTTAAGTTCAGCACATAATTGAAATTTGCCGTTAATCAGAGGAAATACAAACCTGCTAATTTAATTCAGATCATATTAGATCCCTATTTGGAAGCTGAATTTAGTTTTAAAAAAGAAAGTTGTCTTCACAGGTTAAGTATATTAATCATAAACGGATAATTCATATTATTATATGCTTACATACATATACTTAATACAACATTTTAATATTTCATTTTTCTTTGCAGTTTTGGCTGACATTTAAATATGTTCACACATAGAATTGATCGGTCTGAGGATTCAAGTTTTGATAAAAAAGTGTTACTTCTAACAAAGTGCATACATCATTTGGAATTCAACATAATGGAACAAGTGGGTCATTTGCAGGGCATACTCTACATATATATACGGCTACTTTACCACTAGTAAAAGTAAAGGTAATATATATTTACAGCACTCTAAAGTAAGTAAAGGTGTGTAATTGTACTGAGAACATTTTGAAATTCATCTCCATGAGTCACAGAACAGCAGGGCTGCCTGCAGGGAGCAGCTTTGGCTAAATGGTCACCTACTGCTGCCCCAGCTCTCTAACAGCTAGATTACTGTACTAGCTTGTGAGCTAATGAGCTGTCTTATCATTGTAACCACACAATAGTCTCCTGAACAACAGGGTTTTATCAGACCACAACTAGCTTGTTTAGGCAGGATTCAGACATGTACAGAGTTACCCATGATGCTGCCCAAGGAAGAGCAACACACTGCTATTGGCTGTTTTCTGTCTGCATCATGCTACAGAGGTGCTGCTTATTATTTTGTGCTCGCTGAGGCAGTGTGTTTTCACTATGAAAATGAATTGGCAAGCGACAAAGGGACACAGTATCTGTTTCCCGATGGTTCAGCTGCAAAGAAAACCCTGCATTTTTTCTGTATAACTAGCAGAGCTCTCAGGGGTCCCAAACCCTAATGTGTGACATTTTCTACTGAAAATTGCGATTGAATAGTATTTGTACTGTAGGTTTCTTTTGTTCATGTACAAAAAACACATTGGTTAGTTCTCTACAACCTTCACAATTATGAAAGACTAAGTTCATTACTTTATTTTTAAATCAAGAATCAAGACTTGATGCAAATACCTGAGATTTTCAGACCGAGGCATGAGACCATGAGATTTGGTCACGTTGTGTGAGACTTGAGAGCTATGTGATTGCATACTGTACCATCGTGGCTGCAGGCTGGCGAGATCTTTCAGTGTACTAACTACTATGAAACAGTATTTCAGTATGGAGTCCTGTGCACACGTCAGTTTGTTTGGCCAGGCAGCTTGCCTGGCCTGTATATGGCCGTGGGAAACCCTGGAGTAGTGTCAATTCATTGCATAGACTGTCTCATCTCTCATTACAATAAATACCTGAAAGGTTTATCTTTCAGCCCAGTCCCTTAAACGGCTTTCCTGTTTCAGTACTTCAGAGCAGTGAGTAAAAGGTATCTGTCACCCACCAGACACCACATATCTTAGTACTAGATATTGCTGGTAAAAGTGCAAAAGCCCTTCATCCTCATTCTGTCACCCCAGCTCTTTCGCAGCTGGGGGACAGAAAATGCATGTCAGTACTAACTGGGACTGACACCTTTTGTTTGTGCCATTTCTTCTTCACAGAAGTACTTCACTGTCCCATAGTCATCTGGATAGAACTCCAATTGAAATCATACAGATAAAAGGGAACACCACTTACTGTGTAATGAATGCACAAAATCTGCTTCCTTTTCTGGCCGTTTTTCAATCGTTTTGAGCCTTAGTGTAGACGTCACTATTTTACAATCCCATCGAATATCAATGGCTCACAATTCTTCATCAGTAACAGTACACAGTTGAGCTCACTGTTTTGTACATACACTGAGAAATAATTGCTGAAACACTGGGAGGACACCTCTCTTTTTTAATAAAACGGGCAAAGATTAATAACCTTGGGTGCCTAAAATTGCTGATACCAAAGGTCTGTGCTAAAAGGCATCAGATCAAATGAATTAAAAATTCACAGAGTAAATTCATCTAAAGTGCTGTGATAAACCCATAAAAGCTAACGAGGTATGACATCTAATGATGGATGTGATTACAGTGCTGAGCCTCTGGAGTTTTCATGCACGAGTTCTGGGCCCTTCCGAAAGCTGACAGAGGCACCCTGATTATTGCCTGGTACAAATTAAACATGCCCTTACCCCGTGTGTCAGCTCGAAGTACTTCTGACAGGCCAGCTGATAGTGCATCCCCTTGACTAAATCCAGGACCTGGAAGATAAAGAGGGAAAGAAAAATGCACTTAGTAGAAAAAAGAGCAATTTACTTGAACATTACTTCCCCTCGCTGTCATTACCGCAGAAATAAAGTGACATTGACTACACATCTTGGCAAGCATTTAAGCACTTTTCTGTGTTATATTTCTATGACCGATGTAGTGCTCAAAAGCCTTTAAAGCTGCAGAGCTAGCCCTAGTTTTAGTTGTTGATCCCTGCGCTAATTTCTGAATGACTTTCACAGTTCACTGTTAAAGGACCACAGTGTCTCAAAGCACTAAGCTACGTTAACTTGTCTTAAACTTTGTATCAGTAGTGTAGCTCTATTCACTTTGGAAGTAAAATAATATATACACTGGAGTATGTGGTGTATTGGTAATACCTGCTTCATAAGCCTCTTCTGTGTTACATTTCAGAATATGTAAAATCACCAGCATGTATCGCTACTTATAAATACGACAAAGTAAAGCATTAAAAAATAATTTTATTTATAACAGTTGCAGTACCTATATACTGTATATTATGGTACATGAAACCTCAGAAGAAATATTAAACATTTTGCTTAGCTGAGCAAAAATGCAAATACTAAAAAAAAAAATACTACTTTGCAATTACTGCGTCAAACAGGTGTAAGGAATTATTTTCCTCTTAATTCCGTCAGTAAAATTAATCTCAACTTCATTCCATGTCCTTTAAAACTTTGTCTACTAAGAAATTCCATTACTGTTCGTCCACCTCAGTCAAACAACTGCTGTACGTATCAGCACAACAACACTTCCTGTTCCCCACAGCAGACCCGCACAGTGCTGTCTGTGTCCAGAGACGAGCGCCTGCGACCCTGTTGCACTTCACACAAGCAGCCAGGGGACACTGTCAGTTACCACCGACAGGTCACTTCAGGTCAAAAACATCCAATGAGGAGCTAGAGCATCCACTTAGTCAACGCCCACACAGACTCACCGGCCAATCAGCACCAGCAATCGAATAACCTTAAATACGGAAACTGGCTCTGCTGGTCAGAAACGGGACTCCCATGTCTTCCACACCTGAATCTACTCAAGCAACGCAACACAAAGACAGCCCGCACAGATCATAACAGAATTCACCTGTAGGGCAGAGAAGCTGGGGGTCAGAGCGCAGGGTCAGCCATTGTACAGCACCCCTGGAGCAGCTGGGGGTTAAGGGCCTTGCTCAGGGGCCCAACAGAGTAGGATTCCTCTAAAGCTAAAGTAGTGTAAAAAGTTCAGGTAATTTTTAATAAAGAATATATGAGCATTAAAAAACTCAGACCTCTGGCTTGTTTTATATCCAGTAACTACTCTAAATATGTCCAGAGGTATTAGTTTCAAGAACAGTTTTACATGTTGCATTGACAAACAACATTGCATTGCGGGTGTCTGGAACAAGCTCAATCCATGCTGCTCAAGCGCCTTCCCACACCCCTCTCCATGTCCAGCATGAGCTTGTCCAGAGTGATGAGCAGCACCCTTGCATCTGTATACTTCTTTTCACCCTAAAGGATCCCAAAGCACGTCTTCAGATTTCTGTCACAATATTTGTCAGCACTAAATTTTTATTAGTTCAGGTGCTGCGTCAGCATGCGTAGGCTGCAAAGGAACGAGTAAAGGTTTATTCCTGCCGAAAAGAAAAGAAAGGAAACACAACGTTTTGGCTGTGGAGCCTTCTTCAGATGTGAAATTCTTATTGTCTTTGCAGCTGTAAGGGTATACTTTTCTGTTTTGGACAGGAGTACTTGCTACACACACATTTAATAGATTATAAATGTACTGTCTATGGAAGAATAGGACTGTTTCCCTTTTTCTTGCACAACTAATAATATATGCAATTAAGGCACTTGACTATTAGTATTAGACTATATGAACAGTTTTTGTGATGATAAAAGTTTGCAAAAACATAATTAGATAATTATTAGATAACCAACTGTCTTGGTTGCAGTATTTAAACATGTTTGATGTTAAGAGCTGCCTGTTATTTACATAATGTCACACTACCATATTTTGTTAGGAGCAGGTGCATTAACAGAAGGTATGTCTTTAAGATTAATGTAAGGGTAGCTAATCTGAGCTGGGGCTCGCAGATATGCGATCAATTGAAACATGGACTCTGGGGAAGGCGGGCTTTTTATGCCAAGTTACAGCTCATTAGACAACATAAAATCCCCTTGCATGTTTCACTGAAGTTTCAGTAACCCGAAACTCCTACAGCACACCTTAAAGCTGTAGCTAACGCCCACAGGAGCAGTAACAATCCCATGGAAAGAAACACTGGCAACTGTCCACATTTTCTTAGTCATAAACGACACATTTTTCTCATTTTTTATAAAAGATGTATAGAGACTACAAATGTTATTCCCTGCTATTTATATTTTTATTTATCATTTTTGTGAACAATACACCTTACAAAAACAGTAGTCCAAAGTTATTTACCTTTTGTTCTTTCGATGTATGCACATTACCCCAGGTAAACAAATGAAACCCTAGGTAAACAGTCTTCATATTTTCTTCATGTTTCAGCTTCATTTAAGTTTTGTCACTTGCTTCCTATTACAATTGCTTCACAAGGAAATAGCTATGAGCCTACACTTCCAAAATTGTGCCAACACTACCAATATCGCCCATGCAGAAACCCCGCAGACAGCCTGGTGACTCACGTCACACTGCAGCACATGACTGCTTGGCCCCAACTTTTAATTGTCAAGTTTGATGCTAATGACTTAGAAATAGAACTACTTCTCTCCCTGTGATCAAAATCGGTCTCACAGAGCTCAGTGCATGAGATGATATTTAACGTACAGTAAAAGATAAATAGTAAATTTTACAAAAGGTTCTCTATGGTTAGTTGACCTCTGACTTGTAAATTAGAATTGTTTACACAGAAAGCCACTGTTTTGTGCTATACATTGGTAAACTTTGTCCCAGATTTTCAAGAATACTTAAAAAAATAAGCACAGTAAACCAAGAGTGACAAGTTCTCGTTTGGGAAATACATCTAAAGACTACAATTTCAGGATGTTCTTTTGAGCTAAAATGATAACTGAGGGGTTGGGTTAATTGGTACAGATTTTGTATGAATGAGTGGAAGCATAGTTTACGAAATTAACAAAATGAAATTAAAATGCATTTTTAGCTATTGATTGTGTTTCTGTGTGCTGGAGTGCTGAATACCAACCAAAACCTCTTCTGTGTTTACAGCATGGTACAGGACTGGTATTGACAGGTGTACAAATGCATTGTACTCCAGTCTTTAAGGCTGCTTTTAACACTGTTTCACTTTCGTTCTGTTGATTGAATTCTCCACCTCCCTGGCAGTTGGTATTAAATGACTGCATTAAAGATCAAGGTCTGCAGCAGCTGTGTGCAACTCTTACCAGTGTGCAGCTATGTCTGCGTCACGTGCAGGTGAAAGAAATGAGATTGAGAAACTGTCAGGACACACAAAAGGGCAGCTTACCTATTGCGATACACATTCCACTGTATTTGAATCGAATATTTAGTTTTTTATCCATCTTCTCCAGGTGAAAATAAAGACACCCGACCCAGGTTCTGTTTAATGAGAGCTGCCCGCGGGAATGGGGATGGTGGAGTTTACTGGGAGGGAAATAAACGCTGAAGCAGCAATTTCAGCCACCTTCCTCCACAGGAGACCAAGCACAGCCCCAGCAGAACAGTACGGAAACCAGCCCTGTTCAGGCAGGGTGGACTGAAACTGGGCTTGACATCCGGGACTCATCCGAGTGAAGCTGCTGCACTGTAAAACTCTGGAATGAGTACTTAATTCAGCAAAAATAAAGTCATCATCACCTGAAAGTGTGCCTACAAAACAGGCATGTTCAAGCGAGAGAATCAGATTGTTTCATTGATTAAATACTGATAAACACATATAGCAATAAATCAAAATTTAAATAAAGAGGCAGCAAGTTGGAGTCACATTCAACAGGAACCTAAAAATGGTAACAAATGTAGTTATTCCCCCTGTCAATATCATCTCTTCAGATACAGCTGAGCGGTTGACGTTAATATTTGCTGCCTCCTGTCATTTTTCAGCTCAGGCGATAATGTTCATGTTTTTGTTGCTGGACGAAGGGGAAAATAGAAAAACCACCACTGGAATGAAAAGACATTATGTTTCACACTTGGGGCTCTGAAAGCACTACTAAAGGAGAACGGGACATGATGGATTTAATTTGAGAAATGGCAGGTTTTTTTTTGGAGTTGCTTTCTAAAACTACCAGTCCAGTAGCTGTGTAAAAATACCAAAATACTTGGGCCCAGCACTCTTTTTTTATACTGTGGTTTAACTTGCACAAGCAATCCAATTTTATGTACGGTATGTATAAATACTATATGGACACACACAGCATGTATATAATATTAACAGATGGACTTTGTCAGGTAAAAGGAGTGGCCTTAATATAATGCTTCAATGCACAGCAATATTGACAATGCTGTGCAAGATACCTGAATCAGAACTGGGTGCACTGCTATCAGTCACTGAAGGGCCTGTGGCACTAGACAAGACATTTACGTTCAAGCTCTCCATCTAAATTTCAATCAAGGTTTTACAGCGATAAACATATTTTGCTATAAAAAGGCTACATACCATTGAAATCATTTACTATCTACACGCCACCGTTATGGTCTTGTATACACGTTTTCATTACAGCTCATAAAATAATATTCTTCTGTAGGCTGCGCTCTGGACCCGAAGGCAACGTTAAGTTCTAACTATTGATCAGGAATCACATGCGTCTGGTTTTGTGATTAAACCCTAATGGTACCTGTGGAGCTTTATTACCACATTTTACATCATCAAGAATCTCACAGCAACCGCTCTGCATACTGAACAAAATCAATTGATCCTTCAGGCGCTTTTTCATGGGATTCCTGGAAGCCTAGATCAACAGATGAATGAGTTTTATTGACCAAAGGTTTTGGGTTTTCTTGTATTATTCAGTTCGTATTAACACTTCCTCTCAATTCTTTCATTTAACTTGTGATTGTATTTATACTGTATATCTGGCCTTTCTTCTGCTCTTTGACACAAATGTAAGTTTTCTAATAGTATGAATCACTGCTTACATGGGGCTGGTCTTCAAGTCCCAGCTTTTTATATATTGTTCAGTAAAAAAACAACATGTTTTAAAAATGCATCCATGAAGAAGAGGGAATTAAAATCTTAGAACTTCACTTCTAAGTAAAGCCCTAAAACTTCAATTAAACGCTGAGTCATCTGGTTTTTATTATTATTAACCAACTATTAACTGATTCATCTGGTTTTCTGTGCTTATTTTCAATTAACACAGTCACCTTTCTATTGTAATTACTGCTTTTTAATCACTGTGCCCCAATTAGGAGGAAAGTGTGCTTTTTAGAAACATTTTACAAATCATTAAAATCCTCAGCGCTTTGCTATTGTGTATCGGATAGCATACGAGGACATGGATATTTAATGCTGAGATAATATTTGTCAGTAGATCTCTTATACAACACATTGCAAAAATCAGCAAAAGGACAGAGACACTCTGGAGGCTAAATGAGGTTACTGGAAGAATGAAACACGAGACAAACAGATTCGGGAATGAGCAACCCGTGTCTTCTGTCAGCCGTGTTCCAGTTACTCATACAGGAGAAACAATCAGCTGTCCAGACATGGACCTAACACACCAACCCTGGTTGATCATTACTGAATCTGTGAATTAATGACCCGAAAGAACGGTAACGCGGCCAGAAAGCAGCCATGAAAAACAGGATTCCATCAGGACTTTTTTAAAAGTCAGGTCATGAACGGTTTTTGCTTTTTGTTGTTGTAAAAACCCAAACTCACTTTCAAGTTTGTGACAATTACATATTACAAATGATAGATTTTCATTGCTACTATTTCAATGCCTACTGAAAAAAATTATAGTTATACTATAGCTCTGCATTGAAACATTGTATTTTGCATTAGTTCTAGATGCTTCAGAACATAAAACATTTTCAACGTTTGGTTCCTAATGTTTATACATCATGAATTACAAAATAATGAAACTCTATTGTTCTGGGAGTACTGTAAAAAGGAGCTTTGCATCTTAGTTTATCCCCAAAAAAGACAATTTCACTCCATAATTGGCTCCCTGTCTTCTCAACAAGCTGCAACATGTCTAAAACACTGCAGCTCAGACTACTAACCCATTGCAGGACTCTACATGGGTTGCCTATAAAGTCACGTATTCAATATAAAATCTTGTTTCTGACTTTCAAGGCTCCATCATACATCTCTGAATCCTCCACATTTACACTCCCTCCCGTGAGGGTCACCTGACTGGAAGGATTGCGGACCTTTGCTCCCGGTACCCCACTGTACCTGCCCTTTACTTCTCTTGTTTTCTTTCCTTTACTTGTTATTGTACTTCTTTGTTTATCCCTATGTGCAGCATTCTTGGGTTTGGAAAAGTGCTTATAAATAAAATCTTATTTGTATTGTTCTTCAGTGCTCATAAATGGACTGTTCTGATATTTTTGCAATAGGACATCACCACCCATGGGCTGGAGATGCGAGACATTTTCTTACTTCTGTCATTAAACATGTTTTCTGTTCCTAACCTGAATTTATGATCATACCATTTATAATATTAATTTTTCCCATTACGTATAGATTATTCAACTGCATTTGAAGTATTTACTGCATGAGAGATTTTGAACAGTGAATTTTACAGCCCAATTAAAAGGAAACACAATTATATTAACATCCTGAAATTCATAATTCCTTACGAACACTTACAGTTCTTACAACATAGCAATTTAATTAGCAGCATAATTAAGTTTAGATTTCTGAATGAGATCACAGCAATATGCAACACAAGAGAAGAACAACAATACCAAAAACAAGAAAACGCTCTTCACACTGTAAAACTAAGTTGTTGATTCTACCATTATTTTACAAGGCCTCCGTTTTTAAGACAAGCCTTTCAGATGCCAGGTGTAGTCTTGGTCTAACTTAACCATAATTCAATAATGTACAACAATACAATACTGTAATTCAATCCTACATCCATATTTTACATGCAATTTCCATTGAGTTTTTAATATTCCCCAAACAAGAACATGCAGTTATAAATTAATTGGTCTCACAGCCCCTGTGTAAAAGGAATCGGGGGCTCGTGCACTTTCAGAAACAATTCCCAGTCTCACACACTGCAGGCCTCCCAGAGCCTTACTGGACAGGTGCCGCAGCCCTGACGCGAGAAGGAGTTCCTCCCTCACAGACAAGGCGCTGTTGTTTGCCACACCAAAAATACCCTCCCCTCTCGTGAACCAGCTACACCGACACCCTTCCCCTTAATGTCTCTTACTTACACACCCAAAGATAAAATAACTCAAAGTCATCGAGAATGGTAAAATCCCTGTTAGAACCATTACTGGGAAGTCTCTTGGTGGTATGAAACTCTGGACAATACCACAGAAATCCAATCACATCTGCAGAGCACAAACACACATCTCGGACTTCAGAACTTTGATGTATTTTGAGTGCATAATGTATTAATCCCAGTGGCATCCAAAACATTTTTGTATGAAATAACATTATTTAAAAATGCATTATTGGGCTTATTGTTTAACAATTAACATGCAGTAAATACATAACAGCATAAGAAATATTGCGAAAGATAGGAGGGCATTCAGAACATCGTGCTGGTTTTACAGTACAGCAGCTAAGTGAATCTAAATCATCATCCAGCTGTTTCCAGAAGGAGCCCAGTGTTCTGGCCCTGGACTGACCCTATCTATACCCTTCATACAACAGGATCAAACCTCTTTTCAAGCTCCTTTCTTCCAGACTGAAGAGATTTAGCTTTGCACTTAACCTGTGAGAACACAAACAATCCCCTGAGACCAGGAATCGTTCTTATAGCTCTGGAGTGACCTCATTCTAAGGCAGTATAACCCTTTTTGTTATTCTGTGATCAAAACAAAACAATATCACAAATAGGGTTTTACTAGTTTTTTGTGGTGCACCCAAGCATTTAATGTATGCATCACTTTTCCTGCTGCTTAACCCTATTTTATTGACAAGGAAACAGAACTGACAAACGTGCAAGTCCATTTCATGAGCAGCTCCCTGTGGCTCAGAGCCACCATCCCCCAATAATACGCACAGTGCATCTCCCTACTTCCTGCGGGATGAGTTGGTCAAAGTTATATTTCAGTTTGGTGGTGGCACTCCTTCTGCTCAATGCTACCCTTATCTTTCTATCATTTGCATTTTCGATCACTCAGTTTGCGTACTAAACCAGAAACCGGAAACTGATTGAGATCACGAAGAACTCAGGGTTTAAAACCGATCCCTGCAGTACGCCACTGCTTCCATCTGCTCAATACGAAAGTACTCCTCCATGCATGCTGCACGATCTTGGCCTTGAGTTTTGAATTGAGTCTGAGGCGGCTCTGTCCTGCGAGCTGGGATTATGCTTCCATGCCTCTGAGAAGTAACAGTTTCCAGTTGTTGAAATCCACCACAGCTCATGAAGTACAAGCATTACTTCTAGGGTAGCATGATTTGCTACCCTAGAGCCATATATACAGTCAGACTGACTGAATATTTTATTAAAAGATCTTGTTCCAGGGTGTCATTTGCACTGAATGACTCCCAATCTATCGAGAGATGAACTTTGATTATCATTCTGAAGAAATATCACAGCAGTCTAATAAAATACAGTGTTAACAAAATGATCTTTTCACTGATTTTTCCCACACTTTAATAACGGGAGCATGACATCTCAAGCTTTTGCAAGCCCTGGAAATCAGTGTGGCATTTTTCTACCCTTGCATATACTGTAACCCCTGCAGGTGGGAAAAGAGCTGTCAGTGCTGCTGAAATCTCGGGTGACCAAAGACTTGCCTGGTTTATTCCAGTGGAGGGAATCTTGTACGACTGCAGCTTCTGCTTCAGGAGCTCCGGGTCACTGTGCCGGAATGGGCACCCTGATGATTCACAGAGCAAGAGGAGAGAAGACATGAAGATCTGCAGGAACACACCTGGTCTTTACAGCCACGAATGGCCTGTCCCTGGTTCTCTGATTGCCCTGAGCGGTCTATAGTTGTATGTCCTCAGTCAAAATTGTATCACATCCAAATAAGTCCAAAACAAAGGTGCTGAAGGAATTATTCATTTACTCATAAACGCACGATAAAAACAATTAGGCTGCGTGTATGACCTTTCGCTATCATTATGTTTATCTGGTACGTGGTTTTCGACCCTTTCCAACTGAAGGGTGGCGTACACTTTCATTTGGGGTTTTAGAAGTCAAGCTGTCAGCACTTTCCATGCTGTTTGCCGCTATGGGTGTAAGGCTGCTCTGTGGTGTGAAGCCTGGTTAACCGAGGGGTCATATCCCACTGGCCAGTGGATTCTGCGACACAGACTCTTCTTTGGGGCGTATCCTGAATCTTGTTTCAATCGTGTATAAAATAAAAAGAAAACTTGCACTAGTGCCATACCCCCTCCCACCCTTTCCAAAGGCCAGTTTTCCTGTGTGCCCACTCACCATGGTAGTCCCCCTGGCTCGGAGGGTTCGACAGAATCACCTTCATGCAGCTGTAGGGGGTGTAATCCGTGCGCTTGCCCTCCTTCCCAAACATGTGCCGGATGCTGTAGGCGTACGCCTTGTCAAACTGAAAGGCATGAAAGAGAGAGGGAGAGAACCAAATAAACCGAGTTCTTGTCGTATATCATGTCCTCCACGTCAGGGTGTTGTCTCCAATGAAATATAGAGCTATTAGAGAGTACCTGCTGTAGGAGTGTCACTAAATCGAGACCGCTGTGACCGGATTATGGATATTGTACCGCTGTGATTGAACACGCTATAATCTTATTGCTAACAGTCTTCATCCTCCCTGCTGCAGCATCTCAAAGTGTCTGACAGGAAAATGTACAAATTATTGAAGATGTGTTATAAAGCAGCTGTATTCACCTACAGTACACACCATGCATTTTCTAGACTCTGACAAGCCATAACCACCTCATAAAAAAACACCCGTAGAGAAAAAGAGCCCAAACAGGAACTTTGCAGGGTTTTTTTAAATAGGGGAGCATTATTTTGGCTTTCCTATTAGACTGAAAGACAAGAATTCAGAAGTCTTAAAATAACACAGATGACACTACAGAACGGTGAAGCTACAGTAGATGCCCATCTGTGAAAACATTAATCATTATAACAATAAAACGCTTTAAGCACCCTGCAGCACTTTGATACTGAACATCCCCTGGGGACCTGGAAAGCGCAGACGACCATTTGAACCCCTCATCGTGGCTTCCCAAACTGTCAACAACCCCCCAAAATACAGCCCTATTTAAGAAGCCATTAAAAGGTTTAGATTAGCTAGGGGTCACTGCATTCAATCTTCATGGTGAACTCAATTTACTAAACAAATACTCCCTGGTTACAGTTCAGAAGGGGAGAGAGAGACTCCAGGTGACGGTAAAATCAGAACTGTCTAGTGCAGGAGAGGGAGAAATTATTCATCACGATTGTACTCTTCATAATCCATTAAAGGTGCTATAAAACCTGCGAACTCCACAAGGTGACTGGCTGCAAACCTGCAATAAGAAGACTCATAAAAATATTTAACCACTCAGGAATTAATTATATTGAGGTTCTTGGGATTTAAGGAGCAATTTCTAGTTTAAAGATCACAACCTACTATATTAAAAGTGTTTAATGATACTTTCCGCAGTGCGGGCAGCAATTTATTTTGTGCAAATGTCATTCATTATATATTTCATAGTAACTAATGCGAATTGCCAAGACACAATAAGTAGTTCATGTACAAAAAATATACCAAACAAAAATGTATATATAACATACCACATAGGTCCTACGTTAAAAAAAAAACTTCAAAGTTTACAAAGAAAAAGTAACATTTTAATCTAGATCATGTATCCTTTGTTGCAATGCTTAAGAAAATACAGTATTTAAAGTAATACTTTGTGAAAGGAGTGAAGATTAAAATACCACAGCTGAGTAATGAACATTTATAATCCACACGCCTCCTATCAGATGACTAATATTTCCCCAAATACAAGTATGCAGAAAAGAGTCTTACACAGCATTAAAAACTGTGCTCCACCACAGGGTTAAATGTTAAAAAACAAGGACAACATACTGACCAGGCACGGTTACGGTGAATGCACACGGAGAGACACTTGCAGTCCATACCAGCCAGCGAAGACAGACTCATTCTGGGCTCTCCAGACGCCTGCCATGTGCAAGATTGTCTCGTACATTCCTACACACTCCTATTATTACCACACTACTAATTACTGTATTAATGTCAACTGATGTTTGCTTAATGTATGTAAATTGCTTCTGCGGAACTCCGTACTTAAGGTTTCACAGCTTCAAAAAGCAAATTAAAATAGGATTTAACAATAAAATTCACCATACAGTTAAAAGAAAGCTAAGAACCCACGATAGGCATGGAATTGCAAACACACATTTCAATCTCTTTGAAAATAAATGTGTACTTTTAAACCAGATGCAGAATCCTAAGGAAGAAATGTGTGTGAAACCGTTTCCTCCACAGAGAGACGCATAGGCTGCTATTATTTAAATTCTGTTCAAGCTTGTTTGATGTTTTCCAGGCTTTGTTTCTGGTTGACAGCCCTTGCAGTGACAGGGGAATAACATGGACTGTAATAGTTTGGATAACTAGCATAAAAATATGCTTTATGCTCTTCGTGTAGGTATAACGTCTCGTTTTACATTTTTCCAAGCAATTACACGATCATACGCCGGGACCAGGTTGGAAACGATTCAACATAGTTTTTAGTCAGACTTTGCTTACAATTTTCTGTGAAAGCTCAAGGTCAGGAAGAACTATTCTCGGTATGATGCAATGGACAGCAGTGAATGTTCTGGTCTGTGTTCGCCAGGATGCCAAGTGAAATACCATATCAGCCTTTCAATGTCCCAATATTTCACCTGGATTCCTCCATATTGGGCCACTTGCTGCTGCTGCTTTGAAGTCTCTGTACCCCCCTGGTCTACCAGCTTTACAATCAACACCAAGGAACAGAGGTGGACTCTTCAATAAAAAGTCCCTTCACCACTTTAAAAGGCATTTCGTGTTTCAGTCTGAGAAACAGGTGACCTGAGGGCAGACTCGAGGCTGCTGGGCTCCTCCGGATGTCCTGGGTTCCAGTGTTGCAGCTGGCGGGCAGGTGAAGCTCTGCGTGAATCCCTGCCCCAGTCTTGTTAACCCTCCATATAAAGAAACGCCCCGAACATCTATCTCCAACAAGAGGTTCACATGCTGTATGCGTGTCGAGTGGAGGGGTTCTCAGGGGAGGGGCCAAGATCACCCCTGCACGTCTTGTTGTACTGTGTAGTTCTGTCATGCACAGTGCCACACCATATGAAGGGGGAGATCGCACGGTGTCTCACATTGTAAAGAGTATTGACATTGTTGTCCTGAAATGATTGCCCAGAAGTTAAATGAATATATTACACACAACAGAAACCAACATTTCTATTTCATTTATTCATTTAAATCGTATGTCTTTATGAGACATTTAATAAGCTGTGTTACACAAAAATCAATGTTGTTTATACCCAATCGTAAAGGCCCGTTCTTAGACAAGAATTACAAGCACAAGAGCACTGTTTACATTGCTCGGCCTTTTCTCACAATACTGCACTAATTCATTCATTGAAGTCTGCTGTACCACACTTCCGTCTTTCTTCATTCTTTAGTCCACCACACCTAGTTCTATCCTTACAGAGAGATTCTCACCTTATGCTGTTGATCTGGAATATTTCATTCAAACTGTATTACAAGGAAAATGAAATCTTAACTGCTAACTGCATCATAATCAATTTCACATATAATGTGTCCTCTTATCTTATCATCTTAAGTGCTATATTGACATCTCAGCTTGGCTCCACATCTGACTTTTTTCAACGCTTTCCCCTGAAATGCATCATACCTTTTACCATGTCATGTAACACTTTTGTACCTTGGTCACCGAATTTACTTAACTTGTTGGACTTAAATGACAAGATGCATCATAAATATACTAATCATTATGTCTACGTATCTTTTCACCTTTACAAAAAATGTAAAGTTTAGAAAAAAGCTGGGGTCCACATGGGGAGAAGGACAAAAGGCAAGGACTTTGAGTCTCTACAGTAGTTTTACATATATACATGTATAGATGGTCTTTCCAAATAATGACACTAAATCTCCTGCCTCTTGACCAGGCCATTTCAGTTTCGACCTCAACAGTAATTCTAGATAACAGGACACATTTTCTCATGCTTGGATTCTGAGATGAATTCTCTGAAAAAGAGCAGTTCTGTATATTGCAAGATAAAACCTTAGAATAACCACCAGATCCAAACTTTCCTAAATACGTCAATTTATTAGTCCATTATTAATAAATCATATTTTTTTCTTTTGCTTATAAGACAACCTAAAAAAGCCTATTCCATGTTCTGAAGATGTCCTTGTAGATTTTACAGTGAAATGTTCCTGCATCTTCCTCAGAAAGGAACCACACAGCTAATATCCACAGCTATGCTACAAACCTCACCCTTGCTGCTTTCACTATGCTAATGAACAGTTGCTATGGATTTCAGAAAGCAGTGTGCTTCCTGTCACTGCTGAGGTATTAATCATGATCACACAAGAAGACAAATGGACACATTCTCAGGTGCTTGTCTCTGACAATGTGCTGATCTCTTTAAATTGAGCATTCTTATGGATCCTTTCACTTTCATAATATCCACCTTCCCTATTCTGCAGTTTTTGTTTACAAGTTGGCACTTGTATAGTACATGTGGAGTAGTACCAAGACGATGCACCAAGTGTGTGTGACTAGTCTGATCCAAAGAACATTCATCAGCTGAATTGTGCACTTTACAGCAGAGCAGTGTTATTGCTCGACAGAGATTCATTAAAACTGAGCTTGGTTTTAACAAAAACAGTTTCAGCGAATGAAGGAAAGACTGGATTCCACCACATCTATAGAAGGACATCGAAGATGCATATCTGAGCTAAGAGACGGTGCAGGCATAATCTATTGTTAAATCTTCATAATATAAATAAAAGGCCTCTTTTCAGTATTTAGACGACCACTCTGTCAGCTTGGATTGACAATAATAGCAAATGACTTTTTTTGTTTTGTATGAATCCATATGTTGAGGAATCGCCAAAACAAGCATTTAAAAGTGGAATAAAAATATAGTTTGCATAAATAAGAACTGCATCAGACATTTTCTCAAAATATTCCCTGCACTAATTAACTGTATAAATGTTTAGGTGTTTTTAGAAAAAATAATTCCTGTTAAATACCCTTGAAATCCTTAAACCGTTAGTGCTGCTTTAAGATTATAGAGACTTGTCTACAACTTTTTTCTACTTACCCCCAAAAATGTCTGCTTTTTAAAGGATATTACTGATATGTTTTGAGTTTCCAGATGAATAAATCTTATTTCTCTAGAGCTGCTGAAATTCCTAATACAGACTTCTATAGCCCCCAAACTGGTAAAGTTTATAATTATTGTGACAAAAGGATATGGGATCACTTCCTCCCTAGTGTACTGACTGAGCTGCTAAAATTAAGAAAAGTCTAAATGAATCAGCCTCCTCACTGAAGTGAAACTGATTTTTTT